ATCTCAAATACATGTGCCCACAGGGTTGACAGAGTGGGGAAGGCTGGGAATCATACACTGGGAAGTGGTAGTGAAGTGTGGCACTCAAACTAGAGCCTGTGTACCTTTTGTAAAGGCATCTAAGCTGAAAATTTTTTTTTAAGTACATCACAGGGCTTCCCTGGTGGTGCAGTGGTTGAGAGTCCGCCTGCCGATGCAGGGGACACGGGTTCGTGCCCCGGTCTGGGAAGATCCCACCTGGCTCCAGCGAGAGGATGGCGGAGGCTTTGGAAGGTTTGTGTGAGGATGACTGGCTCTGTTTTCTGAGTTCACCGATAGGTTACAATGGCGGTAGCCTTCAGCAGAATTCAGAGCAACTCTGCCCAGGAACCCGGTACCCGGGTGTGGTCCACACACAGTATAGCCCCCAGGGGCATCTGCAGTTCGCGCCCTCGAGGGAAAACATGTCCCAGATGTGGTCTCCTGGTCCCCAGTTTGAATGCCTTGCACCATCTATACCCATAGGCCATATTCAGTGAGGAGATAATTGAATCATGTAACTGAGGCATGTTGCCAAAGACAGTCTGATTTATATCAGTTGAAGTGAAAATCGAAGAAGTTAAAGTTAATGTTAAAAAACAGATCATAATACATTTTGCAACAGAGGATAGAAGCTCTGCCCTCAGTTACAGTTCGGTTAGCCAGAATTCTTTGTTGTCTAATTATCCAGGTGAATTCAGATGTCACAGTGCGTAGGACATTCACACTGGGAATTCACCAGTCTCAGTACTGGAGGGTTTTTTGTTTTTTGTTTTTTGTTTTGTGGTACGCGGACCTCTTACCGCTGCGGCCTCTCCTGCTGCGGAGCGCAGGCTCAGCGGCCATGGCTTATGGGCCCAGCCGCTCCGCGGCACGCGGGACCCTCCCGGACCGGGGCACGAACCCCCGCCCCCTGCATCGGCAGGCGGACTCGCGACCACTGCGCCACCAGGGAAGCCCAGTACTGGAGATTTTGCCCTACAAGCCCAAAACAATATTTCAAGAAATAACATCTTACCATGTGCTAAAAACTGATGTTTTCCAACCTACTTCATTTTTATGAAAATAATAGTCATGAATTGCTGCTTATTTTATAGTCCACTAGTAGACCACAATGTGTGGTTTAAAAGAAATCACTAGACTAGGTGATACTAATACGTTTTTGTTTATTTATTTATTCGTTAATTTTAAAATTCGGCAGGTACTTTTATCAATATCTAATGAGTATGAGATTCTCTTTTTGGTGTCATGGGGGTACAGACATGAACAAAACATGGATTTTTGTATTTAAGGAGTCCAAAACCTAACAGGATAGAGATGCACTAAAATATCTAAAAACTCAAGGCAGAATAATCACTTCACATTATACATAATGCTTTTATATTATCATAATGACAATAAATCTCTTAAGTACACAAGACAGATTTTAGCCTAGTTTTAGGTAGGAAATTATGTTTTTGAAAAAGTGACACAAAAATAGAACAATGATACTGATAATAGCTTTTGTTAAGCACTTACTATGTGTTAGGTACTAATTCTCACTACAACCTTATTATGATGACACTATTATTCTCATTTTATAGAGGAGAAAAGTGAGGCAGAGAGGGTAACTTGCCTAAGGTTATAGAGCTAATAGTCCATGGAACTAGGACTCAGTCCTGGGAAACAAGGTGCTAGAATCTCAGTCGTAAGCAATGTTTTATAGTTCCTAGAGACAAAAAAGCACAGATCATAATCCCAGGTAGGTTGTGGTACATATTCATCTTCCAGCACCACCACGAAAGTTGTGTGACATCTGCTGTGACAGGAGAGCACTTTGGGGGTGGAGGGGATGGGGAGGAATAGAGTCTGCCTCTCAAACATTTCTCAGTGTAGATAATCTTCACCAAGTTTATAAAAGTGACTGAGTCAGCAGTGGAAAAAGCAAAGGGAAGGAACACTCTCCCAAAGAGGGCATCTAGTCCTTTGGCTCTGCCCCATATGTGATGTGATATTCTTGAGATAAAATAAATTATGGAACAATCTTGATCTTGGAAAAACAGAGTTTGACTCTAAATGTTCGCCTTGGATTTTACCAGTACCACCTCTCTTCCTTAAGCCTAAGCTCTCATTCAAAATCACATAGACAAGTTTCCATTAGTATAGTCCTGGAGAAAATAATACTTAGCCTTTATTGAGCTCCTCCCATGGGAGGAAGTCAGACTGTCAGCACTGAGGATAGAGCTGTGCCCAAGCCAGACCACTAATAGTAATAATAGAGAGCACTTGCTAAGTACTTACTCTATACATGTTACGTACTAGTTTAGTTCTTACTTCAACTATATAACGATGGTACTTTTATTATACTCTATTTTATAGAAGACAAAAGTGAGATCTTCGTGGATCCGCGAGCACTTTGTGAATTTGATCTTTAGGATAGTAAAGAAAATTTTAGTGTTGAAATAGGTGTATTTAATTTAAGCCCTAAAGTAATTTTTAAACTGTTGTAAATTAATCTAGTTACTGTATTTTCCTGTCTTATTATGTTCTTTATATCCCTAATTTTGTAGGGTTATTAATAGTTATTCTGATTGGTTGTATTTATGTTAACTTAAGTGTAAATATAAAACATAAAATGGTCCCTGTATCCCACTCATGTTTTTCTTTAAATTTGCAAACTGGGGAAATAGATATCCCAAAATACAAAGGCCTATGTTTAATCTATAATTTCTTCCAGCAATATGTCTGCAACTCTGAAAAGTTGAGCAAAAATAACAGTGCTTTTTTTGAAAATAATAATTTTCACTTTTCAAAAATGGTCTTTTCTAAATTCTCTTAATCCAGGGTATAAATCCAGTATTTGTCAAGGCACACGATATATACTAGGTATTTCCTCTCCCTGTGGGTCAGTAATAAATTAAAGGAGAAGGAAAGGTGCAGAAACAGATTATTAAAAATGTTATTGGAAAAGATTTATTTACTAGACCTTACGGAGTATTAGTCAAGTACCTAAAATAGCTCAAACTGACAGACTGGGAAAATTGAAAGTATAAAGTTTGTGTTTAAATTTTATTACAATTTTAACTGCCACCACTGAAGTTGTTTGATCTTGTAAATGAGCATTAACTGTGATTTGTGATTTGGGTCAGACCACATGTTCATCAGATAATGCAGTTAGGAAAGCAACTGGTCAGATAATTTACCTTTTCAGAGGGACTGGAGGGATCTAGAAGACAGCAAGCACTCTTGGCTTTTACTGATTTATCCCCTTCCTTTAAGAATTTGCATTTGAGTGATCCTTCAACAGGAAAATGACTCTCAATCCAATTAATTTATTTTATGTAGACCTGTGTAGAGCTAGAACTCCCAGGAAACTCGTTGGGTCCCAAATGATTTAGACTGAGGTCTCTTAGATGCTATAGTTTGATTTGTGTTCTTAAAGATATCATAATAATAACAACAAGAGAAAGTCATGAAAGGTGAAATGTCAAATCTAGGTTTGTGTATGGGTTTAAGGAAATTTTACATGCATGTACTTTTTTCTTGTTGTTTTGGTGATGAAACTCTGTCAGATGACTTGAAAAGCACCTCAGTCATTCCAAATCTTAATAGGGAAAATGACAATTTTAAGCCAATATTTTCACCTGAAATGATGAGAACGAAGGAAACTTTTGCAATCTTATTATTTCAGGTGAAAATGGGCACTTGGTAATTGCATTTTGAAACTTAACAGAGTTAAATCCAGGTTTCATAAGGCTTGAAACATACGATGTTGAGGTCCTCTTTAAGAATACAAAATCACATATAAAATTAGGTGCATAGCCTTCAAGGGGACTTCTCCAGAAAAAGGGCACTGACTCTTAAGGTTCATTAACTTCTCAGTAAATTCTCCTCTGATTAATTAGTGTCGGCTCTCTGTGCCCAGAATTATGAAAAAGGGGGGAGGGCCCTAGAAAGAAAATCCTCGTCTAGCTTGCTTCCCACGCATCCTCCCCAAGCCAGCTGAGTGGTATAGACCTTTCCCCAGGTCGCAAGGTAAAAATGATGTCAGAACTGAAATTGCACCTGATTCGACCCCCCTGGCCCCCCGCCCCCCGCCAATTTTGTCCTTCAACAAATAGTTACTAGTCACATCTACTCACTAGGTGGAATGGGCTCTAACTGCCTGCTAGCGTTAGGATAACCAGGTCTTTGATATCTCACTTAGGGATTTTACCCATTCTGGGAGATGTGCGCAGTGCTGCTGTTTCTTTCTGTCCTCGCACACATATAGCCTGGGGTAACATGCGGTCTTGTTCTGTTCAGTTGAGTTACGAGTCAGTCCTCCAGGACGGCAACGGTAGGGGTGGCTTTGACTCGCCGAATCTTCCAGCAAGTATAGGCTAAGTTATACAAAATGGGCGTGTCTGGAGCTTACCAAGAGACCCTCCCCCCTCGTCCCCAAAGCTTACCAGGCAGAGACACCCAGCCCCTTTCTTCTTTACCTCACGTGCGCAAACACCCTCTACCCTAGCGGTAGTAGTCCCCTCCCCCTCCCACCCCGCCCCATTTTCCGCCTTCAGCCCCCCCTCCCCGAGAATCTCCCCTCCCTTACTCCCTCTTTCCTTCCCTCCCCGCGGGCCAGCCGCGCTTGGAGCTGCCCTGCCGCGCGGCGGGGCGACGCGGTAACACCTATAGGATTGCTTCCGGGCACTCCCCAGCCATAGGGGGGCTGGCCCGGGTCCGGAGCTCTGCAGGGCCGCCGGCTCCACGGCGGCTTTACTGGGGACGCGCGCCCCCGCCTGCGTTCTCCCTCTCTCCCTCCCGCCCCCCCGCCCGG